ATATTATTAACCAAATGCTTTTTTCTTTCAATTACTTGCTTTTGTACTTATAGTTAGGAATTTATCTGGATGAGATTTGTTTTTTTTAAATCAATTTCATTTTATCATTATTTTTTTCAATTTGTATTTGTTATGTTCTGAACTTCATTAGAGTTACTTTTCATTTTTTTGTGTGTGCTTTCCTGATTTGGTATAGAATTATTATTAAATGAAATTTCATAGCTTTTATAGTTGACCAGAATAAGAATTTTCACTGTATTTTTAAATCGAAGAGTTGGATGCAAATATTTTCCAATTTATCACGTATGTCAAAACAATCCTTGGTATTTATTATCATGGTACATTCTTTGAAAATACTTATAAAATACTTGACTCACATCTTTATAACACAAATGATGCGACATGGTGACTCAGATATCGCAATTATGTTATTCATTAGAAAAGTTATCTAGCGCCCAGAAAACCTGTGTTTAACTAGAAAATTCCATCTGCGGGGTAAATCCATTGAAAAAATCATGTTTTTTTTGCCTGTACACTCGTTTATACTTAACAAGTCAAAACTCCCAAAACATCTTTTAAGAAAATATTAAACAGGTGTGACAAATAAGCAAACAAAATAAAATAAAAAACAACAATGTTTCGTTTATCAAATACTAAGTTCATTAGAAATTTAAATGTTAATTGTTTTATAAATCAATATGGATTTTCATATTTTACATATTGAAATCGATTTTTATGTTCATATTTATTAGATTAAAGGTGCAACAGCCTAGATATAACATTTATAATAATTCATTATGAGTTTGCAGGAAATAAATTAAAAATATATATACACTTTATATATTTTAATTTAACACGTACATCTACTAAATTATAATTTGCAATTGAGAAGGTGGTATCATTTATGTGGTATCAAATCTACGAATGAAATTTGTCAAAACAAATCATAAAGCAGAGCAAAGTTGAGTTCGAAGTATTATGCGTTATAACCAAATGAAAAAGTTAATAAGCATGCTTCTGGAAATTTGTTGCAAAATAACGATATTCAATTACACTCAAAACTCAAAAAAAAAATTAATTACCTTCATTTAAAACATTAATTCTAAATGAAACCATGAGATTGTTTTTAACGTTTGTTTTGTAGTTCATCGATATCAATTACCATTTACAATAAGCATTGAAAATAAAAGTAAATAATATTTTCGTACGTCTTTTGAGAATAATTGGAGCACACACGCTTAAGTTAATTTGCAAAAAACGATTCGGCATTGGGAATCACGTGAAAACACATATTTCATGCTAATACTACAGTATAAGAGCCACACTTTTAATTAAAATTTATGTGGTCACAGCGTCTAGAGTCCACAAACACACACCCACCCACGAACAAATAAAACCAGCGGCACAAAAATGTCACTCGCAACAATCGTTCAAATTATTGACATATAGAAGCGCGTTAATTTTCATAAAATTGTAACAAACATTATGAGTAAAAGCAATTCATAGGAATCACGATGATTCACCGTGCAATATAGTCATGTAAACCCGGCGATTTTTCTTGTTCTGTACAGGTCGCAATCGAAGGCTATGTGTCAGATGAGAGAAGCCGGGAAAAGTCAACGGACGCATGCGCCATTCTTGACAGGCAGCGCGCCGGCGCCAAGGCACTTCGGCGAAATTCGCGCCCGTCCTAATAATCCGACACCAGGGCGGGGACTCGAGACGGTATTTTTTACGAAATTTATGAGAACCTTTATATACTTGTGAAACAGCTTATGATCATAATTAGATTGATTTTCGCCATAGGTAAAGAATGCTCCGAAAGTAAACTCGGTTTATTTTCCCGAGAAAGAATTTAGCATTTTTAAATGCCTAGCATATTATCTATTTATGTAGAGTTGAAGTAGAGGAGTGTTGAATTAACCTATATAAAGTGTAAATATATTTTTAATTTATTTCCTGCAAACTCTTAAGTTCATATAATTTTCTCGAGCTTTTCCAGTTATCCATAAATTTTTTGAATTGCAACTTGCCTGTAGGCCACAACCGTGCGGAATTCAAAGTTGCTATATATGAGAAAAGAACCAAGAATTTTGAGACCTTTCTAACAATGCATAATACTTTATGTTTTCTTTACAGAAATATCGAATAGTGTGAACTGTTGCTAGAACCTATGCGCACTTTGCATTTCAGCATTTGAATAACCACACAGATTGCTCTACAAGCTGAACCGTAAAAATACGAAAAAACTTTGTTCGTACGAAAGATGCAGAATAAAATTACGAATAAAATGACATATAAATGGTTAAGTGTGTTCAAATAATTTTCTCGAAATTTTCCTGTTTCTCTTGAATTTTTCAATTGCAACTTGGCTGTAGGCGCCACACCGTGCGGAATTAAAAGTTGCGATATATGGGAAAAGAATTAAGAATTTTGAGACCTTTCTAACGATGTATAATACTTTATATGTTTTCTTTACAGAAATATCGAATAGAGTTGAAATAGAGGAGCTTCGGTGCGTGAAGTAATCTTATTGAATCTATATAGTAGTTTTCGGCTAATGATACTTGAACATTCAAAATTCCAGAACAAAATTGGTTATAACATTTGTCTATTTCTATATTACGCTATTTCACACCGTAGCGCTCTTAGCCGGTCTAAGACCATATGATTTTTTACTATGGATCATCCTAAAAGAAATAGTGCACACTGACAGTCCTCAAACCATCTATGCCTTAAAAAGGCAACTGGAGCAAAAATTGCAAAGATACCGCCTGAAATGGCAACGTGATATGAAAAACTTCATAGATAACTTAACTCTCTGTATAGCAAATTAAAGACACCATTTGGTAAACATAATTTTTCAGAAATAATTATTTACTTCTCGATTTTATTAAACCGTGGATTTTTTATAAATTGCCTAATTTGGGGATCATCAAATATATCAATTTTTAACTCTTCATGTCTTCTCTTTTATCGTTGGTCTCTCAATTATATGGTAGACAGAAGATTTTGATGTTCTAGGTTGATCATCATAAGCATGGGTAGGAGTCGTGTAGTCGTGATCGTAAGTAGACCCCAGACCATTGGGGTCATGGTGTATTGCTTCTATTGCCTAAATTTATTCCATTGATATTTACCACACAGAAGAAACAGTCGTTTTTTTTCTAAATCACGGGGGTATTAAAATTTTACTATTTCTTTTTCCTTTGGGACGTTAAACACTCCATGCAATTTTGGCACGCGGTATGAAAAACTCATGTTTTATCTTGATTGCGCAATTCAATTTAAAAGTGGTTGAAATACGCTGGCTTAAGACAGTTTGATATAGGTTTTAGGTATTTTTCTAAAACATATTCACCGCAGATGTATCATTAACTATATGAATATGCACACAACATATTCGAGTCGGAGCCACACCAAAAACAGCAGGCAAAACTTATAGTTATTTGTTAAACTGCGATAATCATAACCATAATGACGAATAGGGGTAGTTCCCCAAAACTAAAAAACAGTTACGGAAAAAACGGACGGTATATTTGAAATCGCACGATTCTAAGTACATAGATTAAAAAAAAGTTTGAGGAAAAAAACAAAATTGCGATTTTTGTCACGCAGTGTAATAGATGAAATAAAATTGTAAGGTTAAATTAAATTTTTTTTAAATCAAACGAAATCATATAAAAATCCACATTTAAAAAAAAGTTTTCTTATTATATGATGTCTTAAAAACAAATATAAATATATAACAGATTCGCCAAAAAAAATAGATTATCCTTCCTTCTGCCGGTATACTACATAATAAAAAAATATAAACAATTATCACTCACCACTATTCGTGGGTGAAGTGGCGTTTGCAAACTGCAGATTCTGCTGTAGTTGCGCGTGCAATTGTTTATGTTGATGTTGCAGATGTGCGTGCAGTTGCTGCGCTTGCTGCTGTTGCAGCTGCGTCACCTGCAGCTGGTGGGCGGATTGTGATAGCGGCAACTGTTGCGTGCTTTGGTGCGACAACTGCTGCGCGGATTGCGAACTGCTGACTGATGCGAGTAGCTGCACGCCGCTTGCATGTTGATCAGAATTATGTTCGCCTGCAAAGGAAATATATCATTTCTAGTAATTTAGAAAGGCACAATCAAGTATTAAAATCTAACGCATGTGAATGAAGGCTATGATCGCATGAACATTCAAAATCGGCACCACCCGACGTCAATTTTTTCCAATACCTCTTACAATTACGCTTAAAAAAATCGATTTGAAGAAACGGGCCTTTTTCGTATATTTTAAATGATATCTTGGCCAAATGAGTTAGGAAATTGAAAAGTGGTATAGTGGAAAGGTAACCATAACCTTTCTTCTTTTAAAGGAGTAAAAAATTACCGACTATCAAGTTCAGTATTGGAGATAATAACTAAAATTTTCGCAAATTTAAGGTAATGATCAATGTTACAAAAACATGCATGCAGGGTGTCTCAGACCTTAACGTCAAATCGAAACGAGGTGATAGTATTGACCTTAACTGTCCATAAAATATTTAGAAAAAACATTCTCTCACGTTGTTTGAAAATTTTTAGCTTTTAAGTGCAACCTAGATCATAGGTCCTAGGGTTTTGGCGGAATTTTGACCATGTTTCGGTTATTGGGGTTAATTTTAATTAATTTTGTTCATTTAAACTTTGTAACCGCAATCGTGAATAACATTTCTAGGACAATTATGAACTTAAAATTTTTAAAATAGAAAGACTTTGAAAAGCTCTCCTATAAAAAAGATGTACTAAAGTGTGTTGGCAAGTTTTATCAAAAGTTGGCGCATTTAATCAAGACTGTAAAATGAAAAGATACTTGATAATTGTGTTATTAAAAAATTCGAGGAAAAAAACAAAAATCTAAAAATAACACGATAATGGCATTTCGCACGCATTTCACAACATTCAAACTGATTGTGAATAAAATTTACTACAGTTAAACTCACCAGGCTCGGAAATTGGAGATATTGGACTATCAGGAAGAAGAATCCCTTTTTGGACGAGATGCTCTCTGTTAGCCCTCACAGATATTTTGCGTTCAAGTGCTGAAAAGAAATAGATTCTAATAATATCTAACAAACAAACAAATATAGCAAAAGAAACATCTTTTGCATAAAACACCATGAATTGGTTAATTTAAGCAAATATTATAGAAAAGACAATAGAGCTATGAACTCGCATGTTTTTTTCTATAACTGCAGTTTATATTTTATTTATTATTAATTTTATGTTTGTTGAAGATATGTGTATTGTTGTAACTCTTCCCATCCAATTGTAGAATTAATACGCCGGAGTGGCTGTATCCGAGTTGAAAGTGGAAGTGCATTTATACGCAATATGGTACGTCCCAGGAAATGTACGATTTCACTGCGGAAAAAATTCCTGATGTTTGCACAAATTATCGACTTATGATTCTTAAAAGCACTTTCTATCACAAACTTTATTCTTAGTGGAAAATTGATCTTATTGGAAGTGCATACGATCATATTTGGCAAGTCTTCAAAAATCAACGGGGTTTTAAAAAATGATAATACCGAAACTCGTAGTTTATACTGTAATGTTTTTTATATTTTTTTTGCTGCAACTTTTATAAACATAAATTTGTACAAAAATTAATTTCATATTTATATGTTTAACTAATTACCATATATGCGTACATAAAAAACTATAATATAGAAAATATTTAGTAGGTTTAATTTCATTATGTACATGAAAGAACTAAAGGCTATCCCAGAGATTCTTGTAATTTACTGATGTCATCGATGTTTATGGGTATTATATTATAGATACATTGAACGATAACGATGACTAAGTATCGAGTTAACGGATATCATACCTCATAAATATTCAGGATAAAATTAATTAGTATTTTAGCATGTATTATGACAAGGGTTTTATACATACATGTATATATATATATATATATATATATATATATATATATATATATAAATAATGCACATAAGTTAGAAGAGTTAATAATACAGAATATAAACAAATGAAATAAACGAATGCAAAACTTTGTCAGTTCATTAAAGTTCAATTTAATTATTAAAAAAAAATCGTAGTAAAGGTTGATATTTTTATTACTGTCTCCAATATTGATATATACATACCAGAACAAAAAAAAACCTTTAGAAAACTTGAAAATCGCACATACATTTCGGTTTTTATACTTACAATTAGCTAACTATATATACGAGTATTCATAATTTTTAAAATTGGTAAATTCATGGATAATCAATGGTTTTAAATATAAATTATGCAATGTCTTATCGTATGTTCGAAATTTAAATATTGTATTAATAATTGTAATTATTCAGACATTCTTTAGTTTATTCCACTATGGAAAATGACGATATATATATATATATATATATATATATATATATATATATATATATATATGCCTGATACAATGATTATTAGGCAATACACTTCTCTATCGACAATCTTTCCAGTCCCGATATACACTTTCTAAAACAACTCAACATCTTTAAATCATAATCATATTATCTAAACGCTTCACAAAATTTTACCAATATAATTTCAACATTTATAAACTAGTTAAACAATTAAAAATTATTTTGTTGGATCATTTGTACATAGAGTTCGACAGCAAAACAATTCGCGATTGATTGAATGAATTATTTAATAAAGTTCAACTCTCAAACTTTGAAAGCCAGGGGTTTTCAACAAAAATTATGATCACTTAGAGCAAGCTGTCAACACCACTGTAACAATTATGTAAACAATTTAATCAACGTAAAAACGTTAATAAATTTGAGTTTCAGTGTTGCATAAACAACAGAATCATAACTAGACATGACACAATATAGAAGAAACTGAAGTTAAACCAGCTCAGCAAATATAATAGACATAAAATGCAGCAACACCAAAAATAGTCAAAGCTCTCTTTTTTACCAGTATATCACTTATTTTTTTCAATTTTTCTAGAATTTTTCATGGTACATCAGCGTTAAATTTTTTTAAAAACTGTGTGTTAAATAATATTTAAATATTTAAAAAAATCAGATAGATTATTTTCTTACTACTGATCCTGAGAGGAATATAAAAAATCCGTTTAGTGCAGAATGGAAGAGACTGGGAACAGTCGTGCCACTTTTTTTGATCAGCAATTATTTTGTTAATTTATCAATTAGATGGAAGAAAAGTAAATTAAATGGTGATCTGTCCTTAAATAACATAAATTTGTCATAAAATCAAATCATACCAGAAAAAAGCTAGTGTTACAACCGTCCGCACCACCACAGACGGTTGTGACAGGCATAAAAATAGCTATAAACACCAAAATGATTTATAACGACTTTTATTGTCGGTAATAACAATATTATGTTACACAACACAATATAAATATTTAAACAAAGCTTATGAATAAAATATAAAAATATATAACAAAGCATATTTTTTTAACTAAAGTTAACAAGATTTTTTTGTGAATTCTTTTTTTCTTGTATTGATTTTTCCATTTCCTTTCTCTTTCCTATTTTGTCTTGTTAAGTTAGATTTTTAATTTTAGTTTAATCTACACCCGAAAAAAGGACAAAAACTACAACCACGTGTCACAACTGTACCTAACGCACACTTTAGGAGACAAATCATCGTTATGACTGAGTTAATTATCTACGCAAAAACTAATTGCTGGTAATAAACTACTCATATTCAAATTAAAGCAAAATAACAAAATGATCTATCTGTATATAAGAAACAGTTATTATTAAATGAAATTGAACAAATTTGAACAATGAACTTTTTTTGACTTTTTAAAAGCAAAGCGTGTTAATGTAAGGCACTGCCCGAAAGCAGTAATGGGAACTTGTTCGAACAATCATACATCGTCAACCTCTTTTTAAATACCATCTCAAAATCAGTATAGTTTAGTTGTCAATACAACTGTCACTATCGTACCCTGGCACAACTGTACCCAGTCTTCCTAATATGTATTTAGCGATATTTAATTAACTATTTTTTATTCTCTATTTTATTTACAACTGTCCAGTTAAGGACATTTAATAAATTTGTGGAATTTACAATTGTCAACCGTAAAGGGACATTGTATACTAAATGGACATATTGGAAAAACAACTCGATGGTTGTAAAATATTAACAATATTTTATTTATAATGATATAATCTTAACTAATTAATTGTAAGTAATTTCTTATAAATAATGACTAAGTTATTTCAATCTTTATCAAAGGAGTTGACTTAAATCCAGTGGCGCTTTTCTTTTCAACCTACGTCGATAGTTCTCTGACTGATGAGCTTGTTTTTATATTTATGTGCTGTTTTTGTTATTACATCTTTAATGGTATTAACTAATATTAACTGTCAAAAAGCAAAGTAAATCAATTTTGTCAATACACATATAATAAGTTAATCCTAACCATATATGTATATCTTTAACAAGTAAAATTTTCAAATTCTCGAATATATAATAATTAATCCAGAAGTCAATTTAAATGCAATCAAAGCTAATATAGTAATCGGACTAAAATAAACAGCATCGTCGAAATAACAAACCAGAATAAAGATCAATAACGCCAAATTCCAAGTGACGAAAATGTCGAAAAGAAATCAGCTTCGGAGGATATAGATAAAAAACAAATAATTGAATATGTTGATCAATTTCAGTACATACTTACGATTAGAAAATATCACAAGTTAGAAGGTACACTACATGGAATAGATAAGAAAAAGTGGACACTACTAATAACCGTGGCTCTAACATATCAGTCGTATGAATTTGAAGTCCGAGAGAATGTACTTATAATGGTACCCATCCGCAGGCAACCTTGCAACCGAGCAATTTATGACAAAATGACCAATAAATGTCCAGTTGTAAATTTTTTCGGCGTCCCAAGCAATCGAACAAAATTTCATTCATTTTTCTTGAACATTAGACAAGAAAGTTTGTATATTTCGAACGTGTAATAAGATAAAATCGACTTTTGTTGCAAATTTTAGTTCGTTTTCATTTTATTTAAACATTGATTTTTATATAAAAATCATATTAAGTTTTTATTTAACATTAATGTTGTACATTTGCAACAGATGGATTTGGAATGAGATCTGCCGCAAATATATAACTCAAAATATTGTTCAAACGTAGCCCGATAGCAGTTATAACAAATTATTCAGATTTTACATTATATTAGCAAATAATTTTAACCTGAAACATGACCTTAATCTAGGAATATACGTCTACATTTACAATAATGCTCATAACAAGAAAGGGTCGTGCAATGTCGATTTGAGCAGTAAAATCATTTTCAAATAGAATGACTCATATTTTTTAAAAATAAATTTAACCCTCCGTCGGTCGGATATTTTTTCACCTTCGAACGGTCGGAAAGGTCTGGCTAGACCACCATTCATTTTACATGCATTTATATGGGTTAAATGAGTTTTTGGTGTCTTATGTATTAACGATTATATAAAAAAATCAAGAAATATAAAAAAAATCGTTTTTTTTTGTTAATTTTTCTGTTTTAAATCAATGAAAAACAATATTTATTCTTTTTCGGCGCCTTTGAAATGAATGTGTGCATTACTCATCCGATTTTCAGTGTTTGCGATTACCAATAAGTTTGGTAGGTTTTCAAGGAACTCTCGTCATGAAAATACTCACATTCATGTTAGAACACATAGCAAAGAATATAAACTTATTATTAATTGAAGTCGAAAAAAGTCTGGCCAGACCACGCCGACCGACGGAGGGTTAATGTTATAATTATTATGAAGGGCAAAATAACGAATTATATGAATTTTTATTTATATAATATGAATAAAATGTGGTAAACTTTATGTATGTAATAATAATTTTTTGTAGTACGTAAAATATTTCTCACTAAATAATAATACATCACCTTGCGATTCGAAAATGTGATGCAGGACCAAAATACAGAAGATAAAATGTACCTACAACATAACAAACGCGGAAGGAATGTAAAGGGCGGGAGAAGAGAGAACTTCATCGAATGCAATTATGAAACAAAACTGGATCGGGTCCATATTGGGAAAGG